CCCAAATCCCATGATTCATTTATCTACCCCTTCTGCTTCCTTCATTGTTGGCCATTGACCTTTCAGTCTTCCTAGTCTTTATTCAGAATGTAATTATAGATAGATACACAAACAGACAGACAGATATAACACTTCCAGATCAGCTATCTACATTTGGTAATACACAGTTAAGCTGTCTTTGTATACGCTCATGGGCTGGTAGACTTTTTAAGCCGGGATGTTTGTTTTCTTGCCACAGCACAGGCTGTGTGCACCTCCTGGAGGACACCAGGGTTTCTTCCATGGTTGCGTCTTTAGGAACACTGCTGCTTCAAAAGGCCTCGTGGAAGTTCTCGTGTTGGCATGCACTTCCAGCTCATGTGAGCAGATGCCCAGAAGCACAACTGCTAAGTTTCTGGCATATTAAAAGCATGTTTAATGTTGTGAGAAACTCCCACCGTCCGTCCCAAAGCGGCTGCATCATTTTGTATCTCCGTCATCTTGGACTGTAGAGCCTCTTGTTCACATTGCCAAATGCTGGGTGCTCTTGGGGTTCTGGGTTCAAGCACCGTATGAGACACAGAGTGAGGCCTCATTAGCACTTCTGTGATGTATATGTGATATTGAGCTGCTCTGCTCTACACAAGCTAAACAAAATATCTTGCTGGACGTTTAAGGCTGCCCTGAATCTATAAAGCAAGTCGTGGGAGGGGTCGTGGGGCCTTGCTGAGACATGGGAGAGCACCCCCACATCTGCGTTCAAAGGACACTGCCTCAGTGCAGGGCCATGGCAAGTGCCTTGTAAAGACCATGTAAGGGCATTTCGCTGCTCTTCCAGAGGTCCTGAGTTCAATTCCCAGCAGCTATATGGTGGCTACCAAACATCTGTAATGGAATCTGATTCTCTCTTCTGGTGTGCATGAAAACAGAGCACTCATACATATTAAATAAATAAATAAATATTTTAAAAACCTAATACCTTGAGACATTGTTGTGGTTATAATTTTGAGTAGACTATGTTGACTCAATGCAGAAGAAAGACACAAAAGCTTTTCCTTTGCTTATTCCTTCTCCAATGTTCTTTCTTTCTCCACTGTAGATCTGTTCCTGTTCTGCTCTGCAGAACCCCTATTCAGTGGAGAGATTCTGTTAACGTTTCTTCCAGGGCAGGACTGTGGCAGCACGCCCCACCATTTTTGTTTGTCTAGGGAAGTCTGTTTTTCTCTTTCTCTCTCTCTTTTCAGTTCTGGGCATTAACCAGGACTTGCCTGTGATTGGTAAGAGCTCTACCACTGAAGCCCAGGCTGGCTTCAAATTTGTAATCCTCCTCCCTCAAGCAGGTTAGTGATGGGACTGCAGGGCGAGGCAGTAAGCCTGCCTGACCCTTGCTTTTTTAGAGAAGGTGTAAATACTACAGAATTTCAGCTGGGTGGTGGAGCACGCCTTTAATCCCAGCGCTCAGGGAGGCAGCAGCCGGTGGAGCTCTGAGTTCGAGGCCAGCCTGGTACAGAGTGAGTCTAGGGCTACACAGAGAAACCCTGTCTCGAAACACAAAACAGAACTTCTAGATCTGTGGGTTGTTTCCTTCAGTACTGACTGTGTCTCTCCGCTCTCTTCCTGCCGAGCAGTGATGCAGTCTGTTGAAGACACAGCTTGTGTGATTATTGTCCATTAATCCTTGATACATCACCTGCTCGTTTCTCCGGCTTCTTTCAAAGTTTTCCTCTTTGTAGCTGAGGTTCTGAGGTGTGAAGTGATACCCAAGTGCAGCCGTCTTGCATGTGTGTGTGTTCGCTGTGCTCCTGTGTCTGTGATTTGGTGGTGTCTAGGTGCAGTTGAGTAGCACGTGTGTGTCCTCATTGTGTTCCCTTATTTGCTGGCTGACATTAATTTGAGGAAATTATCACTGACTCGGGTGTCATTTCTGTCCATTTCTGTAGTCTCGTGTTCTGGCTGTCCCTTCCCACACCTGTCACACCTGTGCTCTGGTACTCACTCCTGTGTCACATCCGGAGTTTTAGCATCTTCTGTCCCATTTTTCTCCTGGGCCTCCTCCTCCTCCTTCTTCTCCTCCTCTTCCTCCTCCTTTGCCTCCTCCTCCTTCTTTCAGTTGTATTGGAGTCTATCCTTATAGCTCATTTCAGAGAACACGAATCGCAGAATTCTAAGCGTGCCCTGCCTGCTGAGGATCCTCTGGAGCGCTTCTTTTCAGTACGTGCAATCAGTAGTGATTGAGTCATTTGTAAAGCTGCAGAGAGGGGCAGGCAGCTAAGAACAGGACTCTGGCTGCTTCCACTCCCCCTGCTGGAGATGTGGGGGGTTCTTCTCCATCTTGGGCAGACTTGGAGGTGCCCCTACAGGCAAAGCTCACCACAGCTTCCCTCAGCCTGGACTTCCCACCACAGGGAACCCTGCGGATCTTCCTGCTGGGACTGTCTACCCCAGCAACCTGGGTCCTGATCACTGTCTGTCTGTCTGTCTCCCACCTGAGAGGCAGCATCTGCTCGGATGGCTCAGTTCTCTGCTGAGTGAGGAGGAGCTCTTCAAGTGTTCAGCTTTGAGTAAATTCTGATACACACAGATGGGTGATGGGAAAGGGCTCGGAACAGTCTTGGGGTGGAGGTGGTGGCTCTCCATCCCTAACCATCGGTCCCCAACTTCACCACCGTGCTGGCCTTCTGTCCCTTGCTGTGGCCTGCAGTCTGCTCCGTGTGCTTGCAGCATTCACGTCAAGCTGCTGAGGGGCCTCGGCGTCACGTGCTGTGTGCGGCAAGCTTGCACATGGCTCTCTGTTGCTTTGGGCTACATTTGTAAGTTCCACTTTCTAGATATAGGATCCGAATCAGAACTCCTGGTAACTGTCACTTCGCAGCAGGAGCGCTGGCTTGGATCTCCCATTGAAATGCCTTCGGGGGCTGAGTCTCAGAGCTGTCCATGTCCCACTCTGAGCTCGCTGGTTCCCCTGTAAAGCAGGACGGGTGCTAAGCTCCGCTGCTTCCCTTACCTTGTGGCGGATGGTTGTATGTCTCAGGCTGGTGCAGCCCTCGTTCTATGGAGTGTGCAAGGAGAGGGCTGATAGGCCGCAGTGAATGGCCCCACTGCACCCTGTGGCTGACACGGAGGAAGAGTGCCTCCCTCGTGCCAGGCTGCTGCCGCCCTCCAGCAGCCTACAAACTTCCCAGGCCCCTGTGGAGAATAAAAGAAATGTTTCCTCCGGGCCACAGAGGGAAACCAAGGAGCTGCAGCTATTTCTGTGGGAGCAGCCCCTCCCCCTGGTGATGAGCCTTCGAGGAGAAAGGTGTGTGCCAACAGGAAGACTCCAGTCTTGCCATAGTGCATCCACAAACAGGAAGAGGGAGGGAGAGGAGTTGGAATTGGGGAAAGCAGCATGATGAAATGAGATTCCACAATTTGATATAAGTAGAAATCCCAGCCATTATAACTGAATTTATAGAAGAAAAAAAAAAAAAGATCAAAAAGCGTGCTGTCTGCCTTTGGGCCTTTACCACGTTTATAAATTATGTTCACACCATCGGAAATACTCCAGATGACAACAAACCTTTTGGCTTTAGTCCGTGCTGGAGCTCAGTCACACATATGTGTGAGAGTCCCTACTAGGCATAAACAGGACAGCCTGCAGCCTCGGAGGTTGTGGGGAGGGGTCCAGCGGAGAACCAGCCTGCCTCCTCATCAGAACTATTGATTCCAGCTGCCCCATAATCATGTCACCCCTTAAATGCCCTGGTCTGAGTCACCCTACGAACTGCCTTGAAAGAAGCCGACTCCGCAGCCTCCCAAGGGCTGCCCCATAGAAACTACGGCTGCCGCTCCGAGGGCTGCCTTGTGCGATCTACTCAGAGAGGTGGCTTCTCCCGCTCCACACCACACAGACTGGCCTCTGTTCGTGTTTGGAAGGAATGAATCGTTCTGCACAACAGTTCCACAGCCTCGGGGTCATGGCCATTAAGTACCTGCAGCAAACACTGCTGAAGTGCTCACTCATGCAGTCCACGCCTCTCACGGAGCTGGTTCCTAATTCTCTGCCTATTTTAACAGCCTCCACCTCAGAGGGTCACCGCGCGGCTTCCCGGACACCCTTATAAAGAAATCCACTTAGTACGACTCTCATGCGTGAACACAAGGAGTGCCACGTCCCGCCCAGAGGTCTTGCCATCTTGGGCAACTCATAACGTTACTGGAACTAGGAAGTGCTAGCTCCCTGACACTGACAAGCAATGCCCATTGACTCTGTGGGTGTCCATGATGTCAGAAGAAATCCCAGCATCCTATGGGCCTTTTGGAGCTCTGCGCCAATGGAGTCTGCACTTCCAGCCTCAGCCCATTCGTCTGTCTCTTACCAGTCGGCCTGCGTTAAACAGGCTCTCTTCAGCAGAGGCCCCTAAGATCTACCCAAGTACAGCTGGGCAGACACACCCCTTCATGCCCTGCAGAGACTGGCTCACGGTCCAGGAGACTGGCAGCCTCCTCCCCCACCTCTGGGGACCAGTAGGCCACCTGTGGTGCCACGCTCTCTCAGCCCCCTGCCCCCGTCCTCCCTGGGAGTACTCAGAGAAACCAAGCACACCTGGACAGGGCCCACCTTGAGCTGTCTCTAGGATGCCTGGAGACCTGGAGAAACCATTCTACTCAGAGGCTTATATTATAAAAGCGTTTTATTGGACACATCTGGAGGAAGTCGGAACCAGGACAAAGTTAAGGTGAGATTCGGGGTGGGGCTCTGCTTTGCTTAGAGTCTGGAATGCTTTGGATGTCTGTGTCATTGAAAACCATCTATAGGTTTTCAGTGCGGAATGGTGGCATGGGGAGGCTGGAGGTCGGGATGCGTTCCCTCTCGGGAACCAAAGCGTGTGGTTCTGCAGTAGGCTTGGTCTAGACTACTCTCCAGAAAAGAGAAAGTTTGGCCCAGGAAACTGCCAAGAAGAAGCAGTCCCTGTGGGCCTGGGGCTGCCTGAGAGGCACAGGACTGCTCGAGAGGGCTGGGGTCTTGCACCAGGCTCCTCCTAGCTCTTGAAGCTCCTCCGGGAGGAGGAGGTGGTGGAGACAAATTTGACGCTGGAGCTGCTGCCCCCACCGCTGCCAAAGCCCACACCTCGGCCACTGCTCGTACTGAAGCCAGAGCCCCCCACACTGAGCCCACCGCCCAGGCCCCCGCTGCTGCCGACGTAGTAGCCTCCGCCGCCACCTCCGCCAAGACCGCTGCCAAGACCGCCGCCAAGACCGCCGCCGAGGCCCCCGCCAAAGCCAAGGCTGCTTCCTCCGTAGCCAGAAGAGACGCTGTTGGTGACGACAGCTGTGGAGAGAGGAGGACTGGGTGAGACGGTCTGTCTGTCACCTTTAGGCCACACAGCAAACGTGTTTGAGTCCACCTGAGGCACAGTGTACACTGGGCCTTTCCACGAAGTATCGGGTCGGGCCAGAAGAACTAAATTATTCAGCTGGGGTCCCTGACAGGAAATTAGTGACACGGAGGGAAGGGGCGAAGCTGACTCTGGCACAATAAGGGTTAAGGGCAAAGCTGCACCGCCCTGTGCCCCGGCCTGTGTCCTGTCCCTCCCCCTCTTGCTCCTCACTCCCCAGTGCTCAGTTATCGGGAAGGCAAGTGTCTGATATCTAGAAACAGCAGGGTCTGAGTTGACATTCCAAGTCGCTTACAGATGTTCACTGGTCCGACTCCTTCTCCACTCAGCCTGAAAGACAAAAAAGAAAAAAAAGTTGAGGTAAGAGTGAGCAACTGCTCCCCCAAAATAGAAGAGCATCACTGTCACGGTTAGGGTCACACCAAGCAGAGCATCTGCGTGTCTCTACGTTCCTGACAGAGAAGAGCTTGGTCTCTCTTGTCACCCAATGACGAGGACGGGGCCCAGAGCTAGGCTGTCAGAGTAGGAGCACACTTTCCACCCTGCTTCCCTAGGTTATGGAGGGCGTGAGCAAGCAGCCAACACGAGTGTGCGCAAGGCAGGCTTTGCCTCACAGGAGCCTGCACTCTGGGTGTGGCCTCGAGCCAGAAGGAGCCCTCACAGTTAGCAGTGCCGGAGGAATGAGGGACACACAGGAGTCTGAGAACCCAGAGGCACTCAGGCTGGTCATAAAAGGCTTCCCACGGGAAGAGAGAGCATAAGGAAGACGAGGGGTGAAGGTGGGTGTGGCGTGGACGCTTAGGTCTAAAAGAGATCATGAGCAAAAGCAGAAAGGGGACATAGTGCAGACACATCTTAGTTGACTGAGGAGGCCAGAGCCCAAGAGAATGGAATGAGGAGTAAGCCAAGGACATGAGCCAAGGCCTGTGGTGTGCCCCCACGTCAGACTGAAATCGGAGGGTGTTCAGTCATGTGTATGTGCGTCTGTCACTCTTCGTCACACTCTGCTTTCTCTAGGCCACATCAGGCACAGACTGGGGGCCCACCTGCACTCCTCGCCCTCCAGCAGCTTGCGGTAGGTGGCGATCTCCACGTCCAGGGACAGCTTGGTGTTCATGAGCTCCTGGTACTCGCGCAGCAGCCGGGCCATGTCCTGCTTGGCCTTCTGCAGGGCCTCCTCCAGCTCGGCCAGCTTGTTCCTGGCATCTTTGAGAGCCAGCTCGCCACGCTGCTCAGCTTCAGCGATGGCATTCTGTAGGTTGGCACACTGCAGAGAAACAGGGAGCAGTGTGGACACTTAGGTAGCTGAACTGACACAAACTGCTGCTTTCTGAGAGTCCAAGCCAGACATAGCAAACCTGGAGGCCTAGAGACCTAGAAAGGACTCAGTAGATCCTGGTCACTGTGGAGGGTGCAATATGGCAACATTGTGAATTGTTCCAGCTCTGTGTGTGTGTGTGTGTGTGTGTGTGTGTGTGTGTGTGTGTGTGTGTGTG